AAAGTAGGGGGGAAACCCTTAAAAAATTTTCCCGAGGAATCAAAAAAAAAAAAAAAATTCGAGGCGCGGGGGCGACCCCCGGACGACGCTGCAGAAGGCGCAGCAGAAGGCGCGGGCGGGGCTCGCGAAGGGCGCGGGCGGGCGCGCGGGCGGGGCGGGGCGCGCGGCGGGCGCGCGGGCGGGCGCGCGGGCGGGCGCGCGGGCGGGGCGCGCGGGCGCGCGGGGCGCGGGGGGGGGGTCGCGAAGGGGGGGGGCCCGTGGGGCGGGGTACTGGTTGGGGGGGTCAAGGGTGAGGTAGTCTCGAGGGCGAGGTCATGGTCAAAACCGGAAGTAACACCTAGGTGTGAAAAGGTGACCCTCCAGCCGCTGGTCCTAGACCGGTTACCTCGCTCAGCCGCACCCCTAAACCGGAAGTTCCTCGCTCAGGAAAAAGCCTAAACCGGAAGTTCCTTGCTCTGCCGCTTTTTTGACTACTTATATATATATATATATTCATAAACATAATTTTTTATTAATTTAAAGCAGCTTTACAAATTTAAACACTCAGTGCTTTTTATGTAATATTTAAAATCAAACAAATATTTCAATGTGTATTTTGTTGTATGTTTTAAGTGCTGTCGGCTGTGGGGAATTAAGATTTGAGTTTACTGAATGTTGAATTATGGTCGTGGGATGGGTGTGGGATGGGTGTGGGATGGGTGTGGGAGGGGTTGGGTGTACCTTAGCTAGGTTGGTGGCACACTGAGCGATACCACTCTAGCTACAGCAGGTCCATGGTTCGATCCTCGGTACGGGTGTAAACACCAGGATGTCCCTGTTCACCTAGCAGTAGACTAGGTACCTGAATGTTAGTGTACTGGTGTGGGTCGCATCCTGGGGAAAAACTGACCTAATTTGCCGGAAATGCTCTGCATAACAAGGGACTTTCTATATAGTAGTATGTCATTGATGTCAACTATGGTCTGTATAAGTTGTATCATATACTTGTAGAAATAAAGATTATTATTATTATTATTATTATTATTATTATTATTATTATTATTATTATTATTATTATTATTATTATTATTATTATTATTATTATTATTATTATTATTACGACACCTTAAACAGTATAATGTCATGGGAATTACTTTGGTTTAGTATACCAACAAGTAGAAGAAATAGACCGCAATATTTAGGTGTGTTTACTATGGAAACGTTTCGCCCACATGTGGATTCCTCAGTCCGGTGTCGAGGAAGCGAGGCGTCTCCATCACCAACAGTCACAAAGGTTACAAAGGTGTGTAATTGTTCAAGACCTGGGTACTGCCCTCCTCACTGCCCCTCCCTCGCTGCCCCTCCTCGCTGCCCCTCCCTCGCTGCCCCTCCCTCGCTGCCCCTCCCTCGCTGCCCCTCCCCGTGCCCTCCCTCGCTTGCCCCTCCCTCGCTGCCCTCCCTCGTGCCCCTCCCTCGCTGCCCCTCCCCACTCTCTGTGTCCGGAAATATTTGTTCCACAGAGAATAAAAAGGCACAATACCGTGACTGGAACAATACACAAATAACCCGCACTTAGGAGATAGGAGCTTACGACTACGACGTTTCGATCCGACTTGGGACCATTGACTAGCCACCTGCGTGACTAGTATTTTTTCGTTAGGTTCAGAATGATGTTTGCGAAATTATTGCATACACAAATTTTCGCTTGCCTTATTCGGCAAGAATAGCGTTCCTATTTAAGCTAAAATCGCAAGTCTTACCTATTGGTCAGGTCTGGGGAGTTTTGACCCAAGTGAGAGAGTACTTGTGGTTGGGGATCTCAATGCTAAAGTGGGAAAAAATATTGTAGAGGGATTAGTAGGTAAATTTGGGTGCCAGGGGTAAATGAAAATGGGGAGCCTTTAATTGATCTATATGTAGAAAGAGGGTTGGTAATAAGTAATACATATTTTATGAAAAAGAGGATAAATAAGTATACAATGTATGATGTAGCACGTAATGAAAGTAGTTTGTTAGATTATGTATTGGTGGATAAAAGGTTGTTGGGTAGGCTCCAGGATGTACACGTTCATAGAGGGGCAACTGATATATCGGATCATTATTTAGTTGTAGCTACAGTTAGGGTAAGAGGTAGATGGGGCAAAAGGAAAAGGGCAACAGTAACTAAGAGAGGGGTAGTTAGTTACTAAATGCTGTAAAGAGTTTTTGTGAAAATAGTGAGGTTCATGTTAAGGTGTGTAGGAGAGAGGGAGGTTCTCAGCAAAAGTAGGTTTTAGACAAGGATGTGTAATGTCACCATGGTTGTCTAACATATTTATAGCTGGGGCTGTTAAAGAAGTAAATGTTAGGGTGTTGGGGAGAGTGGTGAGATTAAATTATGGAGAATCAAATACAAAATGGGTGTTGACACAGTTACTTTTTGCTGATGATACTGTGCTTATGGGAGATTCTAAAGAAAAATTGCAAAGGTTAGTGGACGAGTTTGGGAGTGTGTAAAGGTAGAAAGTTGAAAGTGAACATAGATAAGAGTAAGGTGATGAGGGTATCAAACGATTTAGATAAAGGAAAATTGGATAGAAAATTGGAGAGAGGGAGTATGGAAGAAGTGGATGTTTTCAGATATTTAGGAGTTGACTTGTCAGTGGATGGGTTTATGAAGGATGAGGTTAACCATAGATTGATGAAGGAAAAAAGGTGAGTGGTGCGTTGAGGTATATGTGGAGACTAAAAACGTTATCCATGGAGGCAAAGAATGGAATGTACGAAAGTATAGTGGTAACAACACTCTTATATGGGTGTGAAGCTTGGGTTGTAAATGCTGCAGCAAGGAGGCTGCTGGAGGCAGTGGAGATGTCCTGTCTAAGAGCAATGTGCGGTGTAAATATTATGCAGAAAATTCGTAGTGTGGAAATTAGGAGGTGTGGAGTTACTGAAGGTATTAGTCAGAGGGCTGAAGAGGGATTGTTGAGGTGGTTTGGTCATTTAGAGAGAATGGAACAAATTAGAATGACTTGGAGAGCGTATAAAGCTGTTGGAGATGGAAGGTGGGGTAGGGGTCGTCCTCGAAAAGGTTGGAGGGAAGAGGTAAAAAAGGTTTTGTGGGTGAGGGGCTTGGACTTCTAGCAAGAGTGTGTGAGCGTTTTAGATAGGAGTGAATGGAGACGAACGGTTTTTGGGAACTGACGAGCTGTTGGAGTGTGAGCAGGGTAATATTTTGTGAAGGGATTCAGGGAAACCGCTTAGCCGGACTTGAGTCCTGAAAATGGGAAGTACAATGCCTGCACTTTAAAGGAGAGGTTTGGGATATTGGCAGTTTGCAGGGATATCTAAACTGTCATATCTGTGCACCTCTGGGAAGACAGTGATTATGTATGAGTGATGGTGAAAGTATTGAATGATGATGAAAGTTTTTTCTTTCTTTTTGGGTTTTTCTATCTTTTTGGGTCACCCTGCCTCGGTGGGAAGCGACCAAGAGGGAGAGAGACAGAGAGAGAGACAGAGAGAGAGACAGAGAGAGACAGAGAGAGAGGCAGAGAGAGAGAGACAGAGAGAGACAGACAGACAGACAGACAGACAGACAGACAGACAGACAGACAGACAGACAGACAGACAGACAGAAAGAAAGACAGACAGACAGAAAGACAGACAGACAGACAGACAGACAGAGTGATAACACGATGACCAGCTATAGAAAATCATCAAATAGCCAGAAGTAGCAAGTATTAGAGTGGAGTGGTACATATACATATGAGAGTGATGTAAGACAGGAAATGTTCCAGAGGCCAGAGATATTTTAATGAAGGATAGGAATAGGTAGCAGAGTATCAGAATTTTGATCGGTACTCACCTGTCGGGTAGAAGTAGACAGTGGGATGTCCAAAAGTAGGGAGGGTGGGCGGCACGATGATCCTAGACTCCATCACACAGTGGTGGACACGACGGGACAGAAGGTCAAAGGATGAACCAGCCCATGGTTGGTTGACGGCTACTCCACCTTTCCCCTGGTAACTTACCACTAGTTACACCACTAGCCACGCCACTAGCTACACCACTAGGTACACCACTAGCTACGCCACTAGCTACACCACTAGCTACGCCACTAGCTACACCACTACCTCTGCCCACGGCCATTCCTCGCCAGCTCATGTCACGAAGCGTTTGTAATGGCCCCCAGGCTGAGGGACATCTCTGGCGGTCCGCCTGCAGATAGGTCAACACTCCTGTAATATCAAAGGAAACTTTACTTTAACCATCAGGGAAGTGGATTGAATTAGTATTTTTTGCATATAAAAAATATATGATTTTATTCCACGAGCCGCTTGAGATTATAAAGTCAGGATAAACCACGAAAGTCAGTCAATGTGACTTATTTCTAATGCAGAACTTAAGTTCTCTCCCCAGGATGTGATACATAAACACACTCTTATGTCCCTTACACTTCCCTGACATCTCCCTCGATATCTTCTGCAAAACATCCCTCAACGTCTTCCCCACCCTTCCCCTTACTTCTCTATCGTATGACTCTCTCGCTCCCTCTGCTGCAACTGTCTGCAACATTCCCTGTTTTCCTTGTTGCAACCAGCCCCTGGTGGCCCTGTAGCTCTAACACCACCACCACCACCACCACCACCACCACCACCACCACCACCACCACCACCACCACTACCACCGCCGCCACCACAACCACCACCACTACCGCCACTACCACCACTACCACCACTACCACCACTACCACCACTACCACCACTACCACCACTACCACCACTACCACCACTACCACCACTACCACCACTACTACCACTAGCACCTCTCGTTCCTGGACCAGCCAGAGGGAGCCAAATAATGTGGGGAATTAAATTGGGAAAGAAGTGGTGGTGGTGGGGAGGAGTGGTGGTGGTGGTGGGGAGGAGTGGTGGTGATGGTGGGTAGAGGTAAGAGATGCAATACTGAGAGAGGCTGGGTAGGGAAGGACCAGCAAGGGGAGGCTAAGGGAGGGAGCAGAGAAATGGTGGCACTTACCATTATATTCCCTCCCCTTGAAGCCTCTGGGGAAAACTCCCATGAAACTTTTCTCTTCCACAATAATTACCAACAGTTTTCCTTGCAGACTAGTTGCAATAGAACCTGCCTAGCAGGAGTCTGCAACACTCCTGCAGTGCTTCTGCAGTGCTCCTCTGCCCTTGCGTTTTTATAAGAGCATAAGAACCAAAGAGCACTGCAGTAGACTAGGCTAGGCACGTCTAGGCACGTCTAGGCACGTCTAGGCACGTCTAGGCACGGGCACCGACCGAGGGACTTGTATGTGATTCATCCAAATGCGAAATCGCCTTAGCCAACCAATCAGTACTCGAGACCACGAGATCCATACTACCAGGATAGTCAACCACTGACCAACTAATAGCGTCCTGCTTGGAGCTCCGTCCCTGGGAATTAATGCCATTGACGTAATACTTAAGGAATACGAATAAGCACTCTAGACGCCCTTGACGCCTTGTATCTTCTAAGTGCTTAAGCCTTCGAAGGCTAGCATATTTCCTTCTATGTGCACTCTAAGATGACAGCCCTAGACTAAACGAAAACAAAAGTTGGCATTTATTAAGGTACTCATTCTTTCTGCAGAAGAAGGGTAGTGAACTAAGCTACTCTGTCAGTCAGACTAGGACGTATTGGTGTCTACAAGGCTTCACAGACAGCACTCTCTGCGATCCTGCCTTCTTGTGTGAAGTCCAGTGAAGTTGCGGCAGCTATTCTCCCCAAACACCTCAGTGAAAATGACGGGGCTGACGACCCACATTTCATTAATGGAGTCAGGCACCGGAATACTCTAACAAGCTCCTCAACAAGACCAGTTTCACCTAATAACTTTAAATAATTGTTCTTCTGTAGCCCAATAGTGGAGAATATAGGCTCACGAATGCTTCAGAGTTTCTTGGTAAAGCACAGAGCTCATCTTTTGTCATTGTTTAATATAAGTAATTCAGTAATGGAGAAATACAAAGTTCCCTCTCTCTCTCACACACACACACACATACATACGTACATTCCATAGAGATGAGCCACTACTGCTGGGATTTTCTTCTAGTAAAACACCTCTTTATTGACTATCCTACGTCTCTGAGAAGGCACATACTTCCCTTCCAAGGTGTCCTTCAATGTCCTGAGACCCGCGTCAGGAAACACTTGTTCTGTTTCCTGACGAATCTTACCTAACCTAACCTGACATATGTACGTACATAAATAACCAGCACATAGGAGAAAGAAACTAATGACGACGTGTCGGTCCCACCAGGACCTTTAATTAGGCAATCGTCCTAGTCACACCGAAACGTCGTAAACGTTTCTCCTGTGTGAGGGGTTATCGACGTATTGTTCCAGTCATGGTATGGTGACCTCTTCTTCTTCATACACGCACACTAACCTGGCATACACACACACACTAACTTGGCATACAAGAACACTAACTTAGCATAAACACACACTAACTTGGTATACACGCACACTAACCTGATATACACACACACACTAACTTGGCATATACGCACACTAACCTGACATACACACACACACTAACTTGGCATATACGCACACTAACCTGACATACACACACACACTAACTTGGCATATACGCACACTAACCTGACATACACACACACACTAACTTGACATACACGCACACTAACCTGACATACACACACACACACACACTAACTTGGCATACACGCACACTAACCTGACATACACACACATACTAACTTGGCATACACACATACTAACTTGGCATACACACACACTAACTTGGCATACACACGCGCTAACCTGACATAAACACACACTAACCTGAAAAAAACACACACTAACATACACACACTAACCTGACATAAAACACACACTAACACACACACTAACCTGACATACACACACACTAACATACACACACTAACCAGACATAAACACACACTAACATACACACACACTAACTATTCTTTTCTCTGAAAGTCCCGTAGTTATTATAAACTCCGCCAATGGCGTTTTAACTAAAACTGACCATTTACACTTTCTACGAGTAACTAAAACTGACCATTTACACTTTCTACGAGAGACTTTTTTCGCTCATAAAAAGGGTCTCCAGACCTCTGTTCCTAAATCTTTGCAGTCTAAGCAGCGCTGAATGTTCCACACAAGTGCGGGTAAAAATCTCTGTTACCTTCATGAAGCAGGATCGTGTACAGAAAAAAGGGCGTCTGTAAGATATTCATGGTGTACGTCTGGCTGGGTGAGCACGCAGGTTTTAAAGCAGCCCCGCTACGTATAGGGGAGGTGCGTTCATCACCCCAGACCGTGGGGGGAGGAGCCTGTGTCGGGGAGCTTGTGTGGTGGTGGAGCCTGTGTTGGGGAGCCTGTGTGGTGGTGGAGCCTCGCTTTTAATGTTTTCATCAGTACCAGAAAGAAAGGAAGGTGGGAGGGAGGCGAAGAATGAGGTAGGAAGTAGATAGTTTGTGTGTGTGTGTGTGTGTGTGTGTGTGTGTGTGTGTGTGTACTCACCTAATTGTACTCACCTAATTGTGGTTGCAGGGGTCGAGACTCAGCTCCTGGCCCCGCCTCTTCACTGATCGCTACTGGATCCTCTCTCTCTCTGCTTCCTGAGCTTTGTCATACCTCTTCTTAAAACTATGTATGGTTCCTGCCTCCACTACTTCACTTGCTAGGCTATTCCACTTGCTGACAACTCTATGACTGAAGAAATACTTCCTAACGTCCCTGTGACTCGTCTGAGTCTTCAGCTTCCAGTTGTGACCCCTTGTCCCTGTGTCCCCTCTCTGGAACATCCTATCTCTGTCCACCTTGTCTATTCCCCGCAGTATCTTATATGTCGTTATCATGTCTCCCTGACCCTTCTGTCCTCCAGTGTCGTCAGTCCGATTTCCCTTAACCTTTCCTCGTACGACATTCCCTTGAGCTCTGGGACTAGCCTTGTTGCAAACCTTTGTACTTTCTCTAACTTCTTGACGTGCTTGACCAGGTGTGGGTTCCAGACTGGTGCTGCATACTCCAGTATGGGCCTAACATACACAGTGTACAGTGTCTTGAACGATTCCTTATTAAGGTGTGTGTGTGTGTGTGTGTGTGTGTGTGTGTGTGTGTGTGTGTGTGTGTATGTATGTGTGTGTGCGTTATTGTATGTGTGTGTGCTCACCTATTTGTTGTTGCAGAAGTTCGAGTCATAGCTCCTCTGTGCTTGTGAGAGAGGAGCGGTACTGAAGTTCACCTTCTCATAAACTACTGTGTCCTTGTCCAAACTCTTGTCCTCCTTTCTTCCTCTTAACTACGTACGACCAGTTTCACTAGTCATACCAATCCTTACAGCTCTGTACGGTATCTGTTTATGGGCTATATATCTTCATTTTCCCAACTCGCCCAGTAACATTTCAGTTTGGATCTCAATGCTCTTCTTTCATTAAGGAATTATGATGATTGCTTTCACCCCAGTCACAGCTTCATTCATCCCATGAATTACTGATGTCCTCAACAATTCTGTATCAAGAATTACTTATGGTACACGACTGTCCCTGTGGCGCTGTGTACAACACTAACCAGGAAGGCAGAAGAGCAACGTAATGCTGGAGGAGTATTTGTATCCAAGTGACAGAAGCTTTCATTCTTTTCCTTCGATCAGATCTCATTACTTCAAGTTCCCAAGGTGCTGTGTAATCCACTATGGGTGCGGAGATTTCCCGTTAATCCCTGTAATTTTACACTAATCAAGAAGGGAGGAGAACCCACATAGAGTTATTAACCCGAGGCTAAATTTTGTCTTCTCCATCCACGCTGAGAACTGCGATGAAAAATATTTAAGCGCATTAATCCTTACAAATGGATTACGCTGAGTTTGGCGTTGACTCCCCGTTCGCTGAAGTCCCGATTGATGATGTGTTGGAATTGATGTCAGATAACTTTTTTCACTAAGGTGTTTGAGGAGGTAGATCATGGTAATGAATATGATATTGTGTATATGGACTTCACTAAGGCTTTCGATAGAGTTCCACACTAGAGGCTATTGAGGAAACTTAGGGCACACGGAATAGGAGGAGAAATTTTTTCCTGGGTAGAGGCATGGCTGACAAATAGACAGCAGAGAGTTTGCATAAATGGGGAGAAATAAGAATGGGGGCACGTCACAAGCGGTGTTCCTCAGGGGTCAGTGTTGGGCCCGTTGTTGTTC